ATCAGATAGCAAGTAGGAAAATCAGATAGCAAGTAGGAAAATCAGATAGCAAGTAGGCTAAATGTCCTTCTTGATACACTTGGTATAATATTACACAGACAATTTTATATTTTGCTTGCATATTGTAGGAAGAGAACTGATATCAGAGCCAAAGGATGTGGTCTTAAGTCCTAGCTAAATGACCTTATAAAAGTTATTTTGCTTTCCTATCAGTTTACTTATCTAAAATGGAGGTTGATGTAAAAATTGAATAACATAAAATATATAAAATTATGCAGCACCAGTCTAGGAAGATGGTATAGGTGCACTTTATCTACCTTTTCTTTTAATTTTTCAATCACTCATGTAAGGTCAGTCTTATTTTTAAATGCTCCCATTTTCAAAGGTAAATGTCTATGCTTAGAGACAATTTCCCACTGAAAGACAGGGTGACCTTGGGAACACGAAGCAGTTTAACACCTGGCTGATGTGGAGAACCTGAAGGAAAATAATCAAGCAAAAATTTTCTCCTAGTCAGACCCCAGAGTTCTGCTATGATGCTATCCCAAGAAGGACTCATTACACCGGAAAACAGGAAATTTATAAATATATTACTAAGAGTTTTTTTTAATCAATGGAGAATATGAATCCAGTTAATGGAAAGAGTTGTGGGGTTGAGGTTAGAATAAATTTTAATAAATTTTAGTCTTTGTTCAGTTGGTCAATTAAGTTTTAATTTTGCTTAATACTGTAATTATGTCTAATGCTAATTTTACTTAAAAGTCTTCCTTGTCATCCATCCTAACACAATTTTTGGTCAAATTGTGTCTTGATAGATGATTGTCTCTTTATGGAGTATAAAATATCAATGTTATTCAAGATAGCATTGGAGATGGTGAGAAAATTCTTGATTTCTGATCTGGAAGTTAATCCTCTGGTGTTATTTGGGCTGTATGTTTTAGAAAATACAATTATAGATCTAGGAGAATTATTGAATGAGAAGTAAAATTTCAGGCACATCCTAACTAAATTATTATACGAATCACAACACCTTGACTATGAGCATGGAGTTTATGTAAATTGAGTAAATATACCAAAATGCAAACAGTAGTGATCTTTGGGTCATATAAGAATGTTACTTTTTCAAGGGTACTTTAAAAATGCATTAAATAATTTGACTTTTGTATAAAATGTCAATATTTTAGTGCTTACCTTGAGTTTGAATGATGAGCCAGAGGACAGAAAGTAGTGCCAAAGACATGTTGCCTACTGCGTATAGCTGAGACGTCCCACACAGCATGAAACTGGTTTCCCCAGCAGTCCAGTTTTATCTTCCTCTACTTCTCTTTACAAAAAACAAAAAACAAAACAAAATAAAACAAAAAACAAAACAGAAAAACCTCAAGCATTCTTTGTGAGATTAGGGAATGTTTCTTAATGGTGTTGGGAAATTGCCAAGAAATTGCAGTGTCAAGATCATGAGAATGTTCCTCATTTAAGAGAGGTGTTTATGTCTGTGGTTACAGCTTGTTAAGGAATTTATATCTGGACAGCAGCTTGGCCCTGGTGTTCCTATAGTGGTGGGAAAGGATCAGCTAAGGCTGAGATGCCTGTGTACATATTTGCATACTCACCAAACTGCACCACCACAATTGCCAGTCAGTAACTTTATAGAAATTGATCTACAAATTTAAAAAGGTATTAGTATTCCATACATATTTTGAGAAGTTGGCACAGAGAACACAGAATCTATAAAGCAAGTACTAGGTAAAGTCTTACAAACTTGCATATTGTAATCTCCCTGACCTTTAGTCTCCTTATCTGTAAAAACAGATAATAACAACACCTACCTCAAGTTTCTTATAAAATTTGTACAAGGTAATACACACACATGCATGACACATACACATGTAAGGCTATAAAGAATTGCACAATGTAGATTCTCCCGGCACTATGAGCCTCAACCTAATTATCCTGCATATGAAGTACATTTGAAGCACACCACTGCAGAAAAATTACAGTATTTTTCTGATTACAAAAATAATGAATTTTCATGGTCATAAATATCAAGGGAATATTTAAGAAAAAAAAGTTGGCTACCTAAAGGCCCATCATCAGGAAAGGATTTCCATTAACATTGTGGCATTTTTATATCTTTTCTATTTACTAATAAAAGAAAAGAAATAAAAGGAAATTAAAATTTATAAACTTTAGTTCTTATTGTATAGAGGGTTTTGGGAAACTGTTATTTTTCTGCACAGCATGAAGCATTTCTGTGTTTATGTGTGTCTCAGTATGTGTATATTTCTTCAATTGCCACTTCTAATTACCTCTTGTGGATAAATTACTAGTTACTAGAAATGGTATTATTTAATTAAAAAAGGTAAATCGATGTGAGATTCTTCATATACATTGACATGAAACTTCTCAGAGAGTTATCACCAAATTGCATTTCCTTTTATAGTTTTCCCAATCTAGAAATCTACGCTCTTTAACTGCTGAGGCTAATTTTCCTGATACATTTGGGGACTTACTAGGATGTGACTGTAAATTTTATAGTTACTTCCCTAGGTCTAGCTAGCCTGTTTTCCATCCTTTTATATTCTTTTGAGTCATTTAAGTTTTCTTTGTAATTTTATACTTATTTTGCTGATCCAGAAGATCAACATTCTACATACAACCTATAGTGGTTGTCATTAAAATGTAACAGAATATAATCTTAATTAACATCTCTACTATCAAATAATACAAGGCCTTGGCACAGTTTAACTCTTATCCATAACCCACTCCTTGCCACCTTACATGTTGTTGTCAAGTATTTTAGTTCTATCATGATTCTCATGCCCAAATTAGTCATTATCATTAGTTGTGTGTTTTATACAGATGATGCTAATTGAAATCACTCATATATATACCACCTTCTTTGCTCACAGGTTCTTTTAACATCAGTTCTTTTTTAAAAATAGAAATTTCCTAGTGAAACATATAGTTGACCCTTGAAAAATGTGGTGATTATGGGTGCTGACCCCCTGTGCAGTTGAAAATCTCGGTATAACTTTTAACCACCCCAAAACTTAACTACTAATAGTCTACTGTTGACCAGAAGCCTACTGATAACATAGTTGATTGACACATATTTTGTATGTTATAGGTAGTATGTACTGTATACTTACAATAAAGTAAGACAAAGAAAAGAAAATGTTAAGAAAATCATAAGGAAGAAAAAATAGATTTACAGTATTGTATTATATTTTTCTCAAAAAAAAAATCCAGGTGTAAGTGGACCTGTGCAGTTTAAACCTGTGTTGTTCTGGGTTAACTTTTCTTTGATAAACATGTCATTAAAATTTTCTTAGAGAAGCACTTTCATGTTTTCTTTTCATTTTTGCTGAGACTATTTTACCTTATTCTTTAATGGTAGTTTAGCTGGAAATACAGTTTTAGAATGATAATGTCTTTCAGTATTTGGGAGCTGTTTTATTACCTTTTGGCAACTCTTATTGCAGTTTAAAATTCTACTTTCACTCTATTAAGTGGAATTTCATCTTGTTTATTAATTATCTAACAGTATTACAAGATAAATATTTATGGAGACCATGTTAAGTTTGAGTTTATATTAAGTTAATACTACATTTCTAGGCATTCCAATATGACCCTGATACTATCCTTACTATTGAGGTATTCCTGCAACAAAGTCTAATTAAGATAAATCTACAAACAGATACAATTTGTATAAATGCTATGCATGACTGTTGAAGTTTGTGCATTGTGTTGGGGTAGATTTTAGAAGCCTATCATTTGGTGGGTGGAGAGAACTAGGTAATATTAGCTGAGAAACAAACAGGGAGGTGGTTAAGATGGTGGAGGAGTAAGGGGACCTGAAGCTTGCCTCATCCCTTGAACACAGCTAGATCATTTGAACGCCCAAAAAACCGATCGGAGGATGGAAACAGCAAAATTGCACAGCTAGAGGTAGAAAAAAAATGCCACAACCTGGAAGGTAGGATCTGTGGCGAGTTGATTTGGGGGAGAGAAGAGCTGCAGGTGCTACGAAGTGGGGGGAGCCTTGATCATGGAAAGAGTGAGGGAGAAAGAAAGAAAGAGACAGCGAGAGAGTGAAAGCACGTAGAGGGAATTGCACAAGAGAAACTTTTCCAAAACCATTGACTGGGAAAGGGAGAGAGGGGCCGAATACCACAAGTTTGTTTTGTTTTATTTTGGTTTTTTAAGATTTATTTATTTATTTTAGAGTGAGGGAGAACGTGAGTAGGGGGAGGGGCATAAGGAGATGGAGAGAATCCCAAGCAGGCTCCCTACTGAAAGTGGAGCCCAAGGCGGGGCTTGATCCCACGAACCTGAGATCATGAACTGAGCTGAAATTAAGAGTCAGATGACTAACTGACTGAGACATCCAGGCATCCCTGAATACTCAGAGCACAGAGTCTGAAGTTTTGGAGGTCTGCACCATGGCCAGGGTTGTACTTGGCAGGATCGGTGGTACACCAGTGGAGAAGGAGGGTGGAGATACAGGAGTGGGCAGTGTAGTCTGAGGATCCCCTGGGTCACAGGGAAGCTGCTTGAAGTATTTGAGAGTGGTGGCACAGGCTCTTCAGGGGCAAAAGAACCAGCAGCACCAGTATGCTGTCCTGTGCCCTAGCATAGGAACAAAGACACCGCCGGAGGGCAGCAGACCTTCATGTCAGCTTTTAGCTGCACTTTACCATAAACTATGAATTGCTGCATGGTCGTACAACCGATTTCTGGGACAAACAGGCACTGGCAACAGCGCAGCAAGACCCTCCCCCAGAGGATCAGCACCAGTCCAGACTGCCTGGATCTCTAAATTTGGAGTTTTGAAACCCAGCCACTTGTGCCTGAGATAAAACACAAGACTGCTATGCTGCTTGGCAGGGGGACAGCTCAGACACAGGCAGGGTGATGGCAGGGATCTAGCAGAAGCCTGGGACACAAGAGAGTAATTGTTTGTTCTTCTGAGAAGGCTTCCTGAAGAGTGGTGGGAGTGAGCTCCCTGCTCTAGGGATGAAAGAGTGGGGCAATACCATTCTCCATCCCCATCAGCACTGATTGACTTCAGGGAGCAAAACAGCACCACCCAGTGGAGGCCAGAGCTGTTTACATGTAGTCCTACAGCACCTCCCCGTGGGTGCCCCCACACACCCCCGCCCCCTCCCCGTCCCGTGCCCTGCAGGTACATCTTCATTAGGGCAAGTTCATCTGAGATTCAGAGTAGCCTGTCCCTCCCCGAAAATCCCAGCACAAATTCTTCACACACACCAAGTCATAGAGTGCTGTAAACCTTCAACTCTAGGGGAAATAGGATTTAGCTTCCCCCCCGCCTTTTATTTTTTTAATCTAACTTCTTTTAATGAACAGACCAACACACACTTAAGATCTAGCTTCCTTTTTAAAACAATTTTTTTAATTTTTTGAAATTTATTTTATTTATTTTATTTATTTTTCTGGATCTAGCTTCTTTTAACAAGCAGACCAAAACACACCTAGGATCTAGCTTCTTTTTTGATTGTTTTTTGTTTTGTTTTGTTTTGGACCTCTTTTTAACACAGTCATTTTTCTCAGGAGCAGGAATAAAACAGGCTTTCCTAACAATCACACACACCAAAAAACAGTGACCCAGACAAAATGACAAGATGGGGAATTCGTACCCCTGAAACAAATAATACATTATATGTTAATTAAAAAATTAAAATAAATTTTAAAAAAAGAAAGAATAGGAAGAAGTCATGGCCAGGGATTTAATCACTGCAAATACAAGTAAGATGTTTGAAACAGAATTTAAAACAATAATCATAAGGGTACTAGCTTGGCTTGAGACAAGCGTAGAAGACACTAGAGAAGGTGCAGAGATAAAAGAACTGCAGAGATAAAAGAACCAAAAATTAGTCAGGCTGAAATAAAAAATGCTACAACCAAGATGCAAAGCCAAATGGGTGTAATGACAATGAGGATGGATGAAACAAAGAAACAAATCAGTTAGTATAGAAGAAAAAATTATGGAAAATAATGAAACTGAAAAAAAGAGGTAAAGAAAGGTATTGGATCACGAATGTAGACTTGGAGAAATCAGCAACTCAATAAAGCATAATCACATTCGTATGAAGAGAATCCCAGAAGAAGAGAAAGAAAAAGGAGCAGAAGGTTTGAACAAATTATACCAGAAAACTTCCTTAACTTGGGGGAGGACATAGATATTGAAAAGATATAGGATGAAATGTTCTGAATATATCTGTTAAGTCCATCCAGTCTAGTGTGTCATTCAAAGCCATTGTTTCCTTGTTGATTTTTCTGCTTAGATGATTTATCCATTGCTATAAGTGGAGTGTTAAAATCCCCTACTCTTACTGTATTATTATCAATGTGTTTTTTTTATGCTTGTTATAATTGATTTATATATTTGTGTGCTCCCAATTTGGGAGCATAAATATTTACATGGAAGCAAATGAAAATGAAAACACAACAGTCCAAAATCTTTGGGATATAGCAAAGGTTATCCTAAGAGGAATATATATTGCAATACAGGCTTACCTCAAGAAGCAAGAAAAGTCTCAAAGACACAACCTAATCTTACACCATAAGGAGCTAGAAAAGGAACAGGAAACAAAGCCTAAAGACTGCAATGAAGGGAAATAATAAAGATTAGAGCAGAAATAAATGATACAGAAACAAACAAAAAAGAACCAGTTGAACAGATCAATGAAACAAAGAATTGGTTCTTTGAAAGAATTAATAAAATTGGTAAACCCCTAACCAGACTTATCAAAAAGAAAAGAGAAAGGACCCAAATAAGTAAAATCATGAATGAAAGAAGAGCAATCACAACAAACACCACAGAAATACAAACAATTATAAGAGAATATTATGAAAAATTATATGTCAACAAACTGGGCAATCTGGAAGAAATGGATAAATTCCTAAAAACATACAAACTACCAAAACTGAAACAGGAAGAATTTAGAAAATTTGAACAGACCCATAATCAGCAAAGAAATTGAATCAGTAATCAAAAATCTCCCAACAAACAGAAGTCCAGGGCCAGATGGTTTCCCAGGGAAATTCTATCAGACATTTAAAGAAGAGCTAATACCTATTCTTCTCAAACTGTTCCAAAAACTAGAAATGAAAGGAAAACTACCAAACTCATTCTCCAAGGCCAGCATTACCTTATTCCAAAACAGACAAAAACCCCACTAAAAAGGAGAATTAGAAGCCATTATCCCTGATGAACATGGGTGCAAAAATTCTCAAGAAGATACTAGCAAATAAAATACAACAGTACATTAAGGGCATTATTCACCATGATCAAGTGAGATTTATTCCTGGGATGCAGGGGTGGGTTCAATATTCACAAATCAATCAACATGATATACCACATTAATAAAAGAAAGGATAAAAAACATACAGTCCTCTCAATAGATGCAGAAAAAGCATTTGACAAAATACAGCATCCATTCTTGATAAAAACCCTCAACAAAGTAGGGATAGGTGGAACATATTTCAACATCATAAATACCATACATGAAAGACCCACAACTAGTATCGTTCTCAATGGAGAAAAACTGAGAACCTTTCCCCTATGGTGAGCAACAAGATAGGGATATCCACTATCACCATTGTTATTTAACATAGTACCAGAAGTCCTAGGCTCAGCAATCAGACAACAAAAAGAAATAAATGTCATTCAAATTGACAAAGAAAAAGTCAAACTTTCTCTATTCGCAGACGACATGATACTCTTCGTAGAAATACCAAAAGACTCCACTAAAAAATTACTAAGAACTCATATATGAATTTAACAAAGCTTCAGGATATAAAATCAGTGTAAGGAAATCTGTTACATTTCTATTCACCAATAATGAAGCAGCAGAAAGAGAAATCAAGAAATCAATCCCATTTACAATTGCACCAAAAGCCATAAGATACCTAGGAATAAACCTAACCAAGAGGTAAAAAATATTTTTAAAATGTCTATACTACCAAAGCAATCTACACATTTACTGCAATCCCTATCAAAATACCAACAGCATTTTTCACAGAGCTAGAACAAACAATCCTAAAATTTTTATGGGACCACAAAAGACCCCAAATAGCCAAAGCAATCCTGAAAAAGAAAATCAAAGTGGGAGTCATCATGATTCCAGACTTCAAGATATATTACAAAGCTGTAGTCATCAAGACAATATGGTAATGTCACAAAAACAGACACATAGATCAATGCAACAGAATAGAAAAACCAGAAATAGACCTACAATTATATGGTCAACTAATCTTCAACAAAGCAAGAAGGAATATCCAATGGAAAAAAGACAGTCTCTTCAACAAATGGTGGTGGGGAAAATGAACAACAACATGCAGAAAAATGAAACTGGACCACTTTCTTACACTGTACACAAAAATAAACTCAAAATGGAAGAAAGACCTAAATGTGAGACAGGAAACCATCAAAATCCTAGAAAAGAACACAGGCTGAAGCCTTTATGACCTTGGCCATAGCAACTTCTTACCAGACACATCACAGGAGGCAAGGGAAACAAAAGCAAAAATGAACTATTAGGGCTTAATTAAGATAAAAAGATTCTGCACAGGAAAGGAAACAATCAATAAAACTAAAAGGCAGACTAGAGAGTGGGAGAAGATATTTGCAAATGACATATCTGATGAAGGGTTAATATTCACTATCTATAAAGAACTTAAACTCAACACTCAAAAAAACAAATAATCTAGTTAAGAAATGGGCAGAAGACATAAATAGACATTTTTCCAAAGAAGAGATCCAGATGGCTAACAGACATATGAAAAGATGCTCAACATCACTCATCATCAGAGAAATACAAATCAAAACCATGATGAGATACCAAGCCACACCTGTCAGAATGACTAAAACTAACAACACAGGAAACAACTAATTTTGGCAAGGGTGCGGAGAAAGGGGAACCCTCTTGCACTGTTGATTGAATGAAAACTGGTGTAGCCACTCTGGAAAACAGTACAGAGTTTCCTCAAAAAGTTAAAAATAGAACTACCTTACAATCCAACAATTACACCACTAGGTATTTACCCAAATAATACAAAAATACAGATTTAAAGGGGTACATGCACCCCGATGTTTATAGCAGCATTATCAACAATAGTCAAACTATGGAGAGAGCCCAGGTGTCCATCAGTTGATGAATGGATAAAGAAGAAGTGGTATAGATATACCGTGGAATATTACTGAGCCATCAAAAACAATGAAATCTTATGATTTGCAATAATGTGGATGGAGCTAGAGTGTATTATGCTAAGCGAAATTAGTCAGTCAGAGAAAGACAGATACCATATGATTTCACTCATATGTGGAATTTAGGAAACAAAACAGATGAATGTGTGGGAAGGGGAAAAAAAGAGGAGAGAGAGGGAAGCCAAGAGACACTCAATGATAGAGAACAAACTGAGGGTTGATGGAAGGAGGTGGGTGGGGGGTGGGCGATGCGTATTAAGGAGGGCAGTTGTTATCATGAGCACTGGGTGTTATATGTAAATGATGAATCACTAAATTCTACTCCTGAAACCAATATTACACTATATGTTA